TCATTTCGTTCAGTCTTGTGGCAGGTGATGTACGTGGACGATTTCGGCAGCTTTTCCAGCGCGTTGAAAGCATCAACAAAAAAGCGGGGCCTTTTGAAATACTGCTTTGTGTTGGTGAGTTTTTTGGCACAGTGGAGCAAAACGATGAACTAACTGCTTTTAAAAATGGGAACATACCTGGTAAGAGTCTGGAAAGAAGTTGGACATTTGATGCATCGTTGTTAAAGTTAAATCCTTTTGCTTCTAGTGCCTGTGCCAACCTATATACTTGGGCCCTGTTCAAGGCAAACAGTACCTTTCTACAATGACATTGTTGATGGCGAAATTTGTAGCAATTTGACGTACTTGGGTAGGATTTAAAAATTCTTTAAAATATTTAAACATGTTTAATATGCCTCTCGTGCAGGTAAGCGCGGCCTTTATACGCTGAGCTCTGGAGTAAAAATTGTATATTTGAGTGGTATAGAGAAACCTGATGGACTAAAAGCTACTGGGGATGATGGTAAAATATACTTTGACAAAGATGACATTCTATCAATACGCAACTCCTGTGTTATCAGTAAAACTTCCGCTTCCGACTATAAAGGCGTGGATGTGCTACTGACCTCACAGTGGCCTTATGGCATTGTGGAAGATACCGTAGGTGTTATAATAACATTTCTTAATATCCTGGTTCTAAAGTAAAGCTTATATTTAAAGAAAAATGCATCAAAACTTATATCCTTTTTGTGCAAAGAAATCAAACCGCGCTATCATTTTTGTGGCCTAAATAGTAAATACTACGAACCACCACCGTTCAGGTAAGAAAATAACTCACATAAACGATCAACAATCGAATAACATTAATTTTCTTTTAGAATACCTTCAGACCAGCTTACGCAACTGGAACTCTGTACCCGTTTTATATCGTTGGCAGATGTAGGTAATACTGCAAAAGAGAAATATATTTATGCTTTAAGTTTAACGCCAGTAGAAAAGATGCGCGTTTTGGAACTCATACAAAAGACCACAAATGAAACGAAATGCCCATTTATAGGCATGGATTTTCGTGATTTCACAGTGCGTGGCGAGGTAATGCTCTTAAAAACATTTTTTAAAATGCTTCAAATATATGTATGAATTCGTAAATGTATTTCATCGAATAGCAATCGGACAACAAGCAATATTTCTACGATATGCATTCTAGCGGTGATGATAATCGCAAGCGACGCAGTGGTGGCCAGCGACAAGACAAACGTCCGAGAATAATGAATATCGATCAAGGTAGTATATTTAAATAAAATTAATACTTTCCAAAAGTTTATGAAAAGTCATGGAAAGTTTCACGATACTACAAAGCCAAGCTAAAATCCTTGCTCTTTCAGAAAAATGTTGGTTCTGTTTATCTTCTCCTGATGTGGAAAAGCATTTAGTCATTTCAATTGGGGAGAATTTCTATTTAGCTCTAGCAAAAGGGCCAATCAACGATTTTCACGTGCTCATCATGTCCATCACACATATTTCCTCGGCATCGTTACTCACCGATGATGACTGGAAAGAATTAACTAAATTTAAGAAGGCATTACGTGATTTCTTCAAATCGCAAGGTCAGGTTGTTTGCTTTACAGAACGTCACTATAAGTCATCGCATATACAAATAAATGCATTAGGCATTGATGAAGGTTATGCCTGGAAAATCAAGCATGCTTTCGAAGTGAGTAATGCGGAAAGATAAATGCTTTAGTCAATCCGCTAATTTCCAACATAAATTTACTTCTTATAGGACAAAGCAGAGGAATTTAGCTTGCAGTTTGAAACACTGCCTGCACTTACTTCATCTCAAATGCTGCCACAACAAGGACCCTATTTCGTAGCGGAGCTGCCTGATGAGAGCACATTAATTACGCGGCAAATGAAACATTTTCCTTTGCATTTTGCACGGTAGGCTGCTATACGCAATCTATTTTATACTTGTTCGCTATTTCACTTTTCAATTTATTTGCAGTGATGTGTTTTGCTCTGAAAATTTGCTAAACTGCGATGAGAAAGTCGACTGGAAGGACTGTAAACTGGATAAAGAGGAAGAGATTGAAATGGTGAAAAGTTTTCGTAAAAAGTTTCAAGAGTATGACTTTACGCTTTAAGTTTACTGTTTTATAATCATTAACGGATTAATGTATTAAATGTTTTATGCAGTGTCTACACACACGCGCCCCGGTAGCTTTTACCGTAGATCTATAGCAATTTTTACCGTGGATTATGTGTTGCCGGAGAAGTGGGGCAGAACTTCTCTATGCGTAAGCGACCTTCGGCCGAGCTTAGGGATTATAATCCTTACTACTCAGAATTCTCCTTTCTGTGTTGCCGGAGAAGTGGGACAGAACTTCTTTCGGCGTAATTTTTACTGTGGATTCACGGTAAAAGTTACCGTGGCACGTGTAAGTAGACACTCCCAATGTTTTAACATTTTTAATTCATGCAATAAAAATGAGAAAACTTTACTTTATCTTTTAAAAGAAATCAGTGCAAATTTTTATTCGTAATCTATAATGTATACGTACACATTAGATAATTTCAAGAGCTAAAACCCCTTCCGAAAAGTCTTCATGAGAGTCAAGAGGCCTTCTGCTCTACACTCCTTTATTTTTTGTATGGAGTGGCACAAATTGAATGGCTTCTGCTTTCGCTAGCCATAGAAGGTCTTCCTGGAGGTCTTTTCTACGACATAAATTATATTCTGGGTTTCGTGTGCATTCTGGCTATAGCAAACAGCAGTCTCGTTGTTGTGGATGTTGTTGCAGTGTCGCCCAAACAATGTTTGGTGGCTTGTCTTTTGAAGTTCTTGTCTCAGACGTAAGCAGTACGCATGACTTTAAGAATCTCAAGAAGGTTAATAATTTTAATGTTGCAAATTTATATGTACATTTGCCGGAGACTCAAAATTATGGTATCTACTGCTTTTGTTGAATATACAGTGACTCAAACAAATTACCTTTTTTAAATATTCGTGATGTTATTCGAGTTAATTTTTTTTTATATTTAATATATATAAACCTAAGCTTAAGACTTTGTAGAACACTTTAGAAAAAATCATCGTCATTTCAAACTTTTTTCTCAGAAGTGTTTTTTGAATATACAGTTTTATAGTCCATTCAATTTTGATGCAACAATGTGCAAGTTTTAAGTGGCTAAAAGTTACCGTTGATTTTTTAGATTTTTTTTACCGAATTTTAAAATACGGAAATATTTTTAGGGATTTTAAAAGAGCACTTAAAAGGGGAAAATTATAAGTAAAATTGTAAATGGGGCGCGAAAAATTGAGGTACTTAGGCGGGTTGGGTAAATAAGCGGAGAGGTACTTAAGAGAGGGATTTTCTTCTGATTATATTAAGAAATTCACGTTGTCCAAAAATGTTGGCTACTTAAGCGGGGGGTACTTAAGCGGGTTTCACTCTACATGAAGATGTAAGGAGGTGCGCACACTACACCAACTTAATTGCTCCTACCAATTAGTTGTGGTGCAATGGAAAGATTGGCGAGCTCAACTACATCGGCGGACGATAAAGTCCGTGGTGTGGGATGGATTTAAAACATTTTAAACAAGAAATATTGCCGTCACATTTTCGTTTTTATGATTTTTATTCATGTGATTAGCAGTGGCAAAAATGTATGTATTAAATAAGGATATTTATATTTAAAATTAAGTGATCAGTTATGAAACATATAAATCTTTACATGTTCTGTTAAAAAATATCTAAAATAACAAGCGAAAATCCCCAAGTTTTATATCATAGCAGTGGCCACATTGCGTGTTTGTCACAGATACGGTTTATGTCAAAAATTTTGAAGTGAAACCACCTTCTAATAAAATAATGTAAAAAAAAACAACATTTTTTTAAAAACAAGCGTTTGTTTAACTTGTACAATCAAAGGAATAAAATAAAATAGTGTAACAGAAGATTTTTTAGCAAGAAAATTTTGTTAAAACTGCACTAAAATGAATAAAATAAAATAAGTTAAGCTTTCGTTAAAATTACTAAAAGCCAAATAGTGAAAGGAGTTACTGAAACTCTCTCTGAAAATTACTAACAATTCGTACTGATTTATATCGATTTTAAAAAAGCTTTTTATTTTTCAGTCAGCGTTGCGCTGTGTGTGGCAAGAGCCAAGACGTTAAAGTGGTGCGATATTTTAAGGCGCCTAGTTGCGAAGTTAGAAGACTTCGTCGGGGGAACAACTGCGGTGTTCATTTGGAATATTCTTCCCGAGTCTGTGAAAATCATTTCAACGCGAGTGATTTTGTGACTAGCCCATTGCAGGCATATATTTTTAAGCGCAGACGTTTATACCCAGATACAGTTCCCATGCCCTGGGAGGTTCCTGTACCTGAAATGCGTGAAGCACACGAAAGTTCAGAAGTGACGATATCATCTGTTGATGTCCAGACGCAAACTGAGTAAGTCTTCAAGAAATATGTAGTTTCTTACAAAATTATGCTCACATAAGCACGTCAGGACCTAGATTTACACTGATATACATACATACGTATGTAGAAGAAAACATTATATTATTTTTTTATAAGTGCCGGAGGATTTTTAGAATTAAATATTTAAATAAGAAACTAAACACGCAAAAGCATTGGGCGAATAAAAACAACAAAATGCTTAATCATTTTTTTAATACTTACTATTTTTTATGGGCCCCACAAAATTCCCAAAAAATCATTAATATCATTAATAGCAAAAAATGGTTAAATAGATAATTGGATATTATTCTTTGAAGTCTCCTACAGATAAAAAGAGTTTGCCGATTGAAAAATACTGATTTTCAAGGATTCTATACCATTTCTAGGAAAAAGTGTTTCTTCCCCATATAAAATACGTGGAAAATTTCATGATGCGGTAGGGCCCTCAAAACGACACGCAATTCTGATTTTTAACCTTTTTATTAACATGTGTAAAATGTTTTGCAAATTTTGATACCTCTTGGGGTAGTGTAGCTCAGGCAAAAATTTGACACCCTAATGTACATACCAGTCGAAAATATCATTCTCCACTTTGAAAGTGTCCCAAAATAACCGTCACTTATAAAGAGAAAAAATAACCCACAAACCAGAACAGGTGGTTTATTTTTTGTAGTTGTGTGCTCCTCCCAGTGGGAAAGGGTTATTTGCATATCTTTTTCCGTTGCTGTTGGACACGGACACTTATCGCTGGAAGAGGAAAAATAAGTGATAGTGCGCGGTTACCCACGAACGTGTACCGTAGAAGTGCGTAGAAACATATCAAATTTGCTGTTGATAGAGAGAGAAATATAAGCAACGTCAACGTTACGGTCATGCGGTGGCAAAATATCGATAATATAGTCGATACCTAAATCGATAAAAATATCAATAACAAATCGATAACAAACTCGATAAAAATAACGATAACAAAGTCAATAACAAAACCGATTAAAATATCGATACCCAAATCGCTAATAAACTCGACAAAAATAACGATAACAAAGTCGATAACAAAATCCATTAAAATATCGATACCCAAATCGATAACAAATTCGATAAAAATATCGATAACAAAATCGATAACAAAATGGATTATTATATCGATAAGTCCCGAGAATACCGAAAATCCCGAAATAGTTCCCAGGTTGAGTCTTTGTGGCTCTATATCATTTTCTTTATAATTACCCTTATTTTAATCTTTCTACCTTTATCTTCATCTTTACTCATTCTTATCTTTTTCTTAATATTTATCTTTATCATCGTTATGTTTATCATTTTCTACATCTCCATATTTCCTTTCACCTTTGCCCTTATTTACTAAAATTTTTAAATTTACCTTGTTCTTAATTATTGCATTTATCTTTACTCATCTTTGCTTTTGTTTTTATTTTTAGATATTATAATTTATTAACTTTATCATCTTTCATCGTGAATTTTAGTATTTTAATGAGAGCTTCCTTTGGTACGCCATTCGTTGTTTGCTCAATGTACTTTTGGAAAGTTTTGAATTTTTCACGTTCGAATTTCTGGTAGACACTAGGCAAGTTCATTTCTTCATAGAGTTGCTTCACACGAGCAATCTTCTTTGGATCTGAAATAAGTGATATTTAAGGTATAGATCCAAAATACTTAAACAATTATTTTCAACTACATTTAAAGGATATTAAGTACCTCAAAATGTAAACATTTTGATCCAAAAGTATTTTTAAATAGATTTTAGAGAAATATTTTCAATTGCAAATTTGTAGAAGTTCTACATTCAAACATACCCTTTTGTCCATAGCACTCCACCATAATTGCTTTCTGCTCTGGATTAGCCAGCTGCATGCACGTTACTGCCAACCAGGAACACTTATTAGATTCTATATCAGAACCAATTTTCCCAGTAATGTCGGCATGAACAAATACATCGAGGTAGTCATTTTGTTCTTGATAAAAACAACTCAGATCTTGCAGAATAAATTGGCACTCACTAAATACCTTGGGGTCCTTGACGCTAAAAATACATATGTATATATAAAGTTGAAATGTATGACTTTAGAAGGTTTGAATTTCAATTAAAAAATAATAAGTCCCTTAAAAATTTTGTACAGAGAAAATTGCGTTTCTCGAGATAAGTTGTTTTAATAAAATGTCACAAACATATTGATCATATGAAAAGTCTTTGGGAATTATGTCCATACATTTGCAATACTAAGTTGCGTCAAACTGACGCTCGTTTAAAAGTTGACATTTCAGGCTACATTTTCTAGGTTACTTTAATTCTGAGAAAAAGCATGTAGAATAATTCTTTAGAAATAGATTTCTATGAATTAACTTTTCACAATTCTCTCTATTTTTATTGTTAAAAACCCGGCCATAGTGCAACTATCTCCAATAAAATATTTTTCCTTCAAGTTGAAGAGGCTGGTGTATCAAAAGTGACAACACTAAAAATAATCATCCAAAAAGAAAATACAATTCTTGGACTTTAAAACGGTGGTAAGTTTTAACAAACACATATATGGTAAGAAGTCACAGCAAAATATGTATATATGTTTTAACGTAACATACAAATACCCAAGCTTCCCATGGTTCAAATAAAGTCCGCTTATACAAAATAAATAAATACATATTCAAATCAAACCAAACGATTAGCTTTCATTTTACTCACGAACTATGCTTGTATATGTCCTTAATTGTGACCCATCCCACCCGCCAAAAAATACTGTCCGATCCGTCACAAGCTAAATTATGTGTTTTTTTTTAATTTCAAATATAATCAAAGCCATCAAAGCATAACATGGACTTTAACATTCTATTAGCTTCATACGAGAACATCGCCAATAACGAAATATTTATAGTTTGTCTCAAATTGGTAAACGAATCCAACAAGTCATAGAGGCGGATGTCATCGTTGTCACACCGTCACTCTTTGAAAATGTCAATTTTCTCTGTAAATTATATGACTACACCGTCTGACTTTCATTTGTTTCGGTCTCTGCAGAACTGTCTTGATTGTA